AGGAGCTAATGAGCTCAGCGGCGCTACACAACACAACCGGGAAATCGAAGCAGCCTAAGAGAAAGATGTGTAAATTAAAGTCATCTCCCCAGACAATCCATCGGATAAAGGCATGCATATAGAGATATTTACCATGCAGGTTAGTCAATCTGAATCAAGGCCCAGTGGTGTATAGGGGATGCTAATTACAAGACTTCAAAATATTAAAATGCATATAAATATAGTGATAATTAAAAGACCAGCTCTCAGGCTACACAGTCTAGCTACTATATATTTAAGAACATTTGAGAATATCATAGAGTACAAATGCTAAATATGGATGATTAAAAAAAAAAAAAAAAATCTGTGACTGGTTGATTAAATCTGCTGACTGTCTATCTTATCATAGGTGAAGGCGTAAAATTCAGGTGGACAGATCGGCCGAGGTACTTTCACGGTAGACAGATGGAATTAAATACATGTGACAGCACAGCATATACAGCTTGTTTCATCATCTCACAGAGCGCACTCAGCCCTCATCTATTTCCCCGTGCCCCAATCCTTGTTTCACCTGGCAGTGACTGATGGAGTTCAGCTGTGGCTCTTGTTGAAAAGAAGAAGACGAAAAAAGAAAAGTTTGTTACAATACACACTCTCTTGAGCCATAAAAGATGACTGAACTTTTTCATGCGCCGATATGGAGAATGAAAAACAGGCAAATTGCTTCAGCACCTTAGATCGAAATCCCAGGGGAAAGGGACAGCTTGTGTGAAATGCTTTGTGGAATTCCACTCAACCAGACACAGACGTACACATATATTTCTTACAAACCCCCTTGAGTCTGTCAATAGCTCTATTCTTTGTAGCATCAGAGCACAGGTACATTTGAACCCTTAAATGTCAAAATCAGTGATTAAATCGATAGGGAAACTAATCTTCTGTTGCCTCAGACCAAATGGTTTATAAATCCCGCAGCAATCCCCTAAGTAAGCACAGGAATTCATGAATGCTAAACTAACTCTAACAAAAGGAACTGCTTTGATACTACCACCCCACTTGTACATGTAGGACAAAACTGCTGAGCTGACAGTTTTCTTTTAAATATGAATATCAAATGAGGCTTTAGCTTTTGATATGGCACGGTAATGGCACAGCTGGGATGGGCCCATTTAGCTCCTCTACAACCTATCTCTCACAAAGGAAATGAGCTTGTGTGTGATGTTGCTTGTGATTTGGCAGTAAAATGCTTGTGTTGTGTTTTTTCAAGCCTTTTTTTAATTATAATCTTTTTACTTTTCAAAGGTGTGAATCTTGAATGGAAGAGATTAACAGAACAGGCCACGAGCACAGAGGACGGACTGCAGAGTAAGAGACTGTAAGCCTTGCTCCCAGCAAGAACACCAACACCGACATGTTCACAAGGCTGACACCAATAGGAATTAACATCAGTCAGGCTGGTCAAACAGTCACCCTGTGTGTGAGGGCACAAATGATCTCCCGCCCTGCTACACCACACATTGTCACAGCACAAAGCCCATTTGCTTTGATGATTGTTGGCTTTAGCATAGAGCTGTCCAATGGAGCCGTGCTCTCAATCCTAACCACACCATCCAATACAGCACTAATCTGCCCGAAACTCCCCCTACAGCTCAGACCTCCTCTAATCCCTTATAAGAAAGAGAAGCCAGATGGTCATGAACAACTGCTGGGGGGTCTGAGGATGACCGCATGTATGGAGATGCCTGGAGTGCCTGCTGCTGTTTACCTTGTGCTTCAAGTTACCACTGTAAGCCCCGTGGAGTGGATGGTGTGTGGGTGGTGGGAGCCCTTTCAAGGATGGCTGTACGTTTGTGTATGTACAGCAAGTGTGCTTGTGCATGTGCGCACAGCCAGAAAGAAGAGACCCCTGCTGTACCTGGTGTCGGGTAACTGTAGTGCACCATTCCCCCTTGAGTCCTGAGATGAGATGTCAGAGCTTCAGAGGCAAACCTGCCAGCTGCAGTAACCTTGCGATTCCAGGAGTGTCAGAGTTAGAGCAGCGCAGTCCCAGGGGTGTCAAGATACAACATGCCTCTCACCCTCCCTCTCTCTACCCCAAAATCCTGAGGCACCCCACTGCGACTTCTCAGTGCCAAATGAACCTTTTATTCCTAGCTTCTCTAACCCTCAACAAGGCGCACTGCTGCCCCAGAATCTGGCCCCAGAGTGCCAGTCAACCAGCCTATGATGAGCCCGGAGCTGTCAAATGCAGATGGACAGACCCACAGGCCACATGCTGCAGCGTAACCCCATCATCACCCAACTCTTTTCCCATGGGACACTGATTAAACTGTCATTAAAATGATCTAGTGGTGGGAAGAAAACAAGTGTATCAATCTGCAGGAATAGAAGGAAATATGCATGGTGGGTGTTCATTAAGCGAACATTACCAGAGTAAAAATTCAATTATTGCACAGCAGGGGATGTGCCAAAACCACTTAAGGTCTCCATGCCCCCACACAAACACACATATATATTCACACACATGATGACAGAGAGAGTCCTCAAATCTCACACTACAGGGAGGGAGAGCTTCTGCACACTCGCAGGATGGTTGCAATTCATTTTCATGGAAACCAGCAAGCTAGGATCCACATGAATCAGAGGCCACCAGCCTTGAAATCCAAAGCTTCTTTTCCACCTACCTATTAGTGGTGTGCAGCAGCCGCTTATTAGCGGCAACATTTTGACACTGAAAAGGGTTAAGCACAAACTGAGCCTGGAAAGAACCTGGAAAGTAAATGCCTTCACACAAATCCCCTGTAACTGGACCCTCAAGAAGATAGCGGATAATAATGACCTCATGACCATTGCCAAAGGTTGACCTATACCAGTGCACTGAGGCAGAGTCTGAGCTATTAAACCAGTCAAGAAGGACGGAACTGACAAGCGGGTAACTGATGGTGTCACTCTGTTAATGTAGAGCCTTGATCTATCATATTGAGCTGCAGCTCAAAGAAAGAATAATGATTTGCAGTCTTATTTCATTAAGCTGAAGTGACATTACTTGTACAATTCCAGGAGGTGGGTTCTCTCAGGTGTTTTTAATGATTGGAATTTCCTTAAGCAACCATGTTTAGAACCTTTGGCAGCATATGGTAGCACATATGGTTTTCTGTTTGACAGAGCAGTATGGGGACAATGATCATGTGCTGGACTGACTTCTGACTTCATCTGAACTAGTAAGCACCTGTCTCCTAAAGCACTTCGTCTTCATCAATTCTTATTGAATTATTTTATCTAATTGAGTTTATGATTTAAATCTTCTCGTTTGTGCTTATCTTTTCTTTCAAATATCTTATTGTCGGTGTTGGTGTTCAGTTGTGATTCAAAAGCAGCCCATTTCACTTTCAGTAGCAATTGGAGGACAATGTTTGCACTGCATTTTGTAATAACCACTGATCGATCATGAATGTGGCTGGCAGTCGATTTATGAAATTGCTTAAAATTTCCACCTCTAATTCAAACAGTAGTGATGTCAAGGCCTGAGCAATTACTTGCTTTGCAGACATACTGGCTGAGTTCAAAATAGGTGTTCGCATCAAGGTAGGTCAATGCCTGCACTAATGAATACAACATCAGCAAAGCTTTTCTGACCCTTTCATTGCCTTAAACAAACATTCACATGACAGCAAGGCACGTTAAAGAGCCCCTAAGCCATTTGTATGTCTTTGCCAATCACTCCCGCTCTGGCCTCTGTGGACTGGGTATTGATATGAGAGTGATATGGAGATACTGCCCTGAAGCATCAGAGAAGTCCAAAGCTTACTAAGGCCTGAGCCTTGCCACTAGCAGTGCTGTTTGTTTTAGTATATGGAACAGACAATAGGAAGGATCTCGGTTTGTGTGGTGCATGTGTACGTGTGTGTGTTTCCAATGCTGGTCTGTTCACAGCTGGGCTCAAGCTAATGCCCACTCTGTTGCCTCAAATGCGCCCCAGTTAGCAGGGCTCACAACCCAGTGACAGGGTGGGCTGGGGTTGTAGAGTCCCCAGTGTTGGGATGTTTTTACGCTTCATGCTTTGCTGCATCCACACAAAAGACTTGGCCCCATAACCCATAAGCCCTCTAATCCATTCTGTAAACATTCAAGAGTTACCCACTTTTACAACAAATGCCCATGCATTGGCACACAGCGGAGCCTGCCACACGCCGGCCAGGTTTCTCTGGGTGAAAGTAAATTTGGCATGGAGACATTATTATTCCCCTTATTATTACTGTAAATACTACAAATATGGATAATTACAACAATTTTTAATTACTCAAATAGAGCCAACTGTCCTGGTGCAGCAATTCTAAACTAAAATTTTTTCCTTTATTGATCACAGCTTAACCCAAGAGCAAACACATCTAAATAAAATATAAATGGTGAATAATAAAAAGAAGCATACAAATCAGATCATCTCCTCCAGAATGACTTCAAGTCAACTCAGATCCCCTTTATGCAAATTATGTTGCTCATCAATGCAACTGTACTGTAGAGACATATATACGCTTTCATTTGCATGGCAAAAGCAACCTTTTATTCACTTCATGGTCACTGTAAATCATATAACCATTTGAATGAGTGACCCTAATGAACCCATGTCCTCCTTACCACCACAATCCAACCCCCCCCATCCCACACCAGTCACATACAAAAGGAGACCTGGTGCACTGCCACTGACTCTGTCATGACATCCAGGAATAGCAACATGCACAGGGAGGAACAGGCATAAACAGCCTGATGTAATAATTAGAAACGCATGATTGCTCTGATAAACATCACTATGCCATAATGATTCCTGATTATCCTGATCACATGCTGAGCCTTCCCATGTGTTATCACAGATATGCGTATTGATTAATGCTGAGTTACTAAAGCCAGATTTGCTGTTAGGATCATCCTTTGAGACATATCTACACATTGGTATAATTAACATCAACTAGATCAATGTGAACAAGTATGAAGAGAAAACATTAACAAACTGATGAGCCACTTACCCAGAAGATGAGATTGAAGATGAACATCATATACTTCAAGCAGCAGAGGCAGCCTCTTGCCATGTTGCACTTCTTGAATTCTAAAAGGAACACAAAGGATAGATCCAGGTAAAAGACCACGTATTTGCTGCTTTTGGGTGAGCTGTACTTGTTGTTGGTCTTGTCTCCTGCGCTGGTGTCAGCTGCTGCTCCAGCCTGCCCCTGCTGTGCGTTTTTGCGTGGACCCGTGGACCCGTAGAATGCGCCGGCAGTGAAGCCCCGGCCGCCGAACGGACGGCCAGACGTGGATGCTTGGGCAAAATCCGAGTCGTGGCTATCTACTGAAGGGCTACGGTGAATGGCTGACTCCTCACTGCTGGACTTCTCCATGCTCTAAGGCTGCAGCTGCTGTTGAAGGGATCCCTGACGCACAGTCTACCATAGTCTCAGAGATGACGGGGCAGAACAACTCACCCTCCAAATCGCCAGTGCTTCTCACTCTGGAGCAAAAAAAGATAAAAGCCTCACAGAAACAACTACATTCACCTGAAAGCACACAGTTCGGTAAGAAAGTCTCCTGTGTAGAAGTGAGTAGAGCTGCACTATTCAAGCACCCCTTCCAAGCTTAAGTGTCTTCTGCTTGCTGCTGCTGGCTTGCTGTATAGAAGGGTCCTGTGAGGAACATTACCCTTACATTATAACAGGGCTGTCTTTCCAGGAAGAAGTGACAATACTCCCTCTAACCTCTCTTGTAATATCACTCTCCTCCTGTGCTGCTTTGCTGTGCCAGGCTGTTCCAGTGAGAGAGGGACCCCAGTGAGGCTCAGCTGTTCCACTTCCACGTTCTCTTGCTGACCTGGTAACTTTTCCCCCCTCCTCACTCTCCTCTCCTCTTTCCACGTCTCTGCTCCTTTTCTGTCCTCCTTTTCTCAACGTGCTCTGATGCACTCTCTCTTCCCTTACTCTCTCACTCTGTCCCTTTTTAAGTGCGCCTGTCTTCTCTAGTGTGCCATTCAGTGCTCAGCGGCTCAGTCCTCCGCACTGCCTGTGCTCTGCTCTCCCACTAGCAGCACTCTGGCTGATGCTGTGCTATGATCGGTAGACGCAACTAATGGGCATTCCCTATCTCCCAACAAGAGCACTGCCCTCCTCCCCCAACTCTCTCCCTCTCTCTCCCTCAGTCCCTCCCCACTGCTGAGCAGACAGCCAATGCAGCAGCTGCAGCCAGAACCAAGCTCCTCCTCTCCACTCCCCGCGTCTTGAATAAGCCCATCACTGTGTTTTGATTTGACTATACATGTTCAGCAATTTCATCTTCGGTGTCAGGGAAATTGAGAGGCCAGAGATGAATTTAGAAATATCAAACAAAAAACAAACATAAAAATGAAGTGTCAATGTAATGTTAGATGAGTACAGGGTTGTGTGTAGAGTGGCAGGGTTGGGGGGGTCCTTGGGAGATGGAAATTGCTGGCAGGGTCTTTTGCATATGAAGAGCTTTCCCAGCCAGTCTGCTGATGAGACCGGCACCTGCAATTTCACACATGCCAGTATAGCTTCTCACACCGTTTTAATTTGTAGTCTGTATTTTCAGTGATTAATGTTGCCATAAATGAACCATAGTTGACTCTGACAGCAGGTGATTTATCATATATTTCTGAAAACCACCCTGAAACATCAGCCGACTATCACTACGGTGATTACTGCATCTGATGTGGGTGGGGGCGACAGCACTGAGCTGCTGCGTTTGGTTACGCTGTTGCTCTGTGTTATTCATCACTGCACTGCCCACATCCATGTAAGGGGACCCAATTAACTGGCAGGGTCCAGGCTTTGGAATTATGGCACCATCTGAAGCACGGAAAGGGGATAGTGGCTATAAGATGCTGAACACTCTCCGACGCAAAGCCAGGGTCAAGAACTGATTAGCCCTGCTGATTCACACACCAAGCTAACAAGATACTACAGAGCTTTTATTTTAAACTTAAACGCGAATATAACCAGAGAACAATGGCTGAATGGTAAAGGATCCTTAAAGTGGCAACCTTGGGTCAATTGGAATAACAATATAATTGCCCTCATTGTCTCCCAGGATCTACTTTTTCTTCAGGACTGTCAAGTTAAAAACGGTCTACTGCTAGACCGCACATTGTTCTGCTGTGGTAATGGTCTTCTGTCAGCTGAGTGCCAGTGATGGCTCAGCCTCCAGACAGATGGAGGGAGAGTTTCAACTGAATGGTCTTAAAAGGTAAATCCAGTAATACCCAATTGACATAGACAAGCTAATCCAACCCTCTTGTGTTTCACCATTGTAGAGTAAAAGACAGCCTTGAGGAAGCACACGTATTTTGGCTGTTATGCAGAGAAATGGAAAATCAGGTTTCAGCAATTGGTTAAGGCTGCAACTTTGGCACAATTCAAAGTAAGATGGTTTAAGAATGACTGAATATTAAAATATTTGCATATGAAAAAATATACACTTGGGTAATAAAGCGATTAAAATAATTGCTGATACCAGTCTCATGTTTGTGGGCTAAACGTAAGACTACAGCCAGCAGCCATTTAGCTTAGCTTATCTTAATAACTGGAACTGAACTGGACACAGTCACTCCCCAAAAACCACAACATTTTTTTTTTTAACAATTTTGTTTTTGTAGGGTTAAACAAATGAGATACAAAGTGCTAATTAGTGAGTTTTAGATGAGACGGTAGGTGGATCTTGTTACCTTTGGACAGAAACTAACCAGCTGTTGCCCAATGTTTCCATTTAATTTAATTGATTTATTTAAAAGGGATAGCGTACAGTAAAACATAAACATTACCATTTGATTCACTGTACCAGATAATAGCTTCAAGCTAATTTGCATCTGCAGTCCCTTGGAAGGTCATAGTTAAAACAACACAATAATAAATGTGCTAAGGCTGACCAATTCATTAGAATGCCACCCAGATCACAACATCGGTAAATAGCATCCCAGTCATATCGTCACGTCCACCAAAACAATCGCAACATGTCTTGGAGCCACATCGCTCAGAGACAGTATAAATCAACAACACACAAAGTTACATAAACACATAAGGTTACACAAAAAAGGACACAAGACATACAATGTGAACTACTCACACTGAAACATCACAAAAATTTGCCAGTCAATTAAATTAAAACCAGGTCATAAAGCTCCTGGATAAAATATCTGAATTAGTGATTGCAAAGCTGAGTAGCTTTATACTGCCGTTTCAACTTTGTTTTAAACATACTGATGGAGTTGCTGCTACTCACATCGTCAGGCAGGGTCTTCCACTGGTTTGTGGCTTCTACAGAAAAAGTAGACTGGCCAAATGCAGTACGACGGAATGATACGACACAAGATAGATCCAAGGTCACACAAAGATATTTAAAATCAGTGACTATGTCAGTCCTTTCACAATTAACAAAAATGTCAGTGGGTGTGGGTGGTGCCAAGGAATTAGAAAAAAACATACCCTTTGTCTTATTCTATTTGATTTATTCTAACGCCAAATTGCATACAATGTAGACCAAACTTGCTTGTATTTAGAAACGATGTTAGTTGCTTAATTACAACTTTCTCTGCAATTTTGGAAAGGCAGTATGCTTAGAGGTCTATAGTTCCTGTCACTTCAGTCACTTCAAGTACAAGTTCTACATTTTTTGTGTATTTCTACGTTTTCAGCTTTTCAGGAATGCATTAGCATTTTTGAGGTTTCTATGTTTCTTTGAAAAGATTTTATTAACTAAAAGATTACAGTATGTTCACACTGAAGTTGACTCCACAAAGCCCCCGTGTTTTTAACCACATCTCTACAGAGACAGATCACTTTTCTGCAGAAGGTAGCAACTCCAAATGATTAAGGCAAATTCATTACGGCTGTCAAAGGTAGACATGTCACATGATGAAAACAGCTGCTCACAAGTTACAAGTGACAAGGTTTCCCATCAGCTCCTTTGAATACATGTGAGAAGCTGAAAAAACTGTCAGAATCCAGGTTTTTTCTGCCCGGTGAGCTTTAAGGTCCTTAACTCCAAATTCAATACAATCTATGTCAGTGGTGCTCTCTCAGAGTTACACACATTCATCAGAGCTCAGTGTGACTCTTAGGGGGCATGTTACTGATTCCTCAAGTAGCCTGAAGGACACATTCAAGCCTGCTCCTTCCTGAGCCACGCACAGATCCATCCATCGACTCAGAGCAACGGGGCTCTGCGTGCCTGCATTAGGCTGATGGGGTAAAGCAAGAGAGAAAGATACAAAGCGAGACTCAGGAGAAATGGATGTCTGTGGGTTGGCACAGAGGAGTTGGATAGAAGAAAAAAAATATGCGGATCACAGCACAGCACAGCAGACCAGAGCAGGGAGGCTGGGCTGTGACAGAGGGGGTGAGTGGGATGAGATTGTATTCAAACATTCTTTATGATGCTGAGTAAATTTGGCAGCTTCTTCAACATGTATGTTGCAAAGATAGACCAAAGACATTAGAGTTAAGATGGACCCAGCGGGAACTCCCCCAGAGCTCTTCGCACAATGCTTCACAGAAGGCAACGGAATGCAAACACTTAACCCTGAACATGTGTCAGAGCACTGGCACTATGAACAAACAATAACATGTGAGTGATGTCAGGAGTACGTGTCTCAATGAAAGAAAAAGATAAGATTAGTAATAACATTTTTTAGTATACTTTGAGAAATACAGTATATGGGTTAGATTTGTTGTCTTCGTATGGTGGGCAGTATTAGCAAAAACAGTGTAGTATGTGGTCTAGATAACAAAGATATTCCAGCCAACAAAGAGCAGGGGAAACGTGAAAATGAAATCCTCCATTAGAAACACTGATTTAAACTACAGCTGAATGAGTTTAATAGCATCTTCAAAATTTAAGTATTTCCATTATATTGTGCCTACAAACAATAACTGAACCTTAAATGTTTTATACATGATTATATTTCTTTGTTACGATGGCAGTGGGACTTGTACCCTTCACAGTTGTGTTTCTGTTATCTGGATTGTATTATACATCAGATATAATCGGATATAAAAAGGAGTTTTTATTAATAGAAACTAAATACAGAAGCTACACTTAATACTATATACACTTGATAACTTGCTGGTTAAGTTTGTGTGAGACGAGCATTATGTTGGTGAAGAATGTGATAAATATTGTAACTAATATATAATATAAAATATTACGTATTTGCCAGATCACCAGGCTCGCTTACATTCTCATTTCAAGCCTTCCTACAGCACCCCTATACATTAGAAAGTATCTGGCAGGGCTTAATGACTTTATAATTATTTATTAATTTAATTAATTCAACATTCATTCAAAGTTGTGATTGTGACTTTTCTTTGTATTCATACCTCATGTCTTTATCAACCTTAATATTCTGTGTCTTTATCAACACATATAATATAATAACATACTTTCTGTGGCAGTGGATTTAAGTTTTTTCATGGTACGTACCTTTTTCAGTATAATATTACTGGGACAGCTGTCTCCACTTTGTAACACAGGCTTTCTGTCCTGTTCTCTGGCTGAGACAACTCAGACCATCACATCACTATTGGGCCATCACGGTTATTTTGTCAAACTTTGGAAAGTTCCCTGCAGAGCCACAGAAGACATAAATGTATTTTAAAAAATCATATATAAAGCTTATATCCAAAGCACTTTACAATTTTGTTTCGAATCTTCATGTGGCCCTTTAATGACAGACCCATATCAAAAACACTGCAGTCAATAAGTCTAGTACCAACAGAACATTTTCTTACCGCCTCAACACTGTGGGATTTTATTCACCAATTAGGCCCGTTTACCACTGTTAAACTAGAGGTCACAGTTGGAATTCTTCATCTCTATAAAAGCCCAGTTTACAGAAATGTACTGCAGAATGATATCCAGCATTTTAACAACTTTTTTAAAATTTTATTTAACCTTTATTTAACCAGATGATCTCATTGAGATTTAAAACCTCTTTTCCAAGAGAGACCTGGCCAAAATAGCAGCATATTGACAAAGCACAGTTACAAATATGAAACACAAGCACACGCACAACAACAGAGAACAATTAACAAGACCCTTACGATACATAAACAAAC